TTATATATATATATATATATATATATATATATATATATATATATATATATATTGGTACCGCCGGTACTCTTGTCACTGTGTCATTGTTGGTATAACCATTGCACATAATAACAAAAGAACAGACACATCTAATCAATCGTACTGAGACGTTTGCAACAAACCTCGCGCCTTGCCCACGAAGCTAGTGAGTAGGATTCCAGTCGGTCATCACGCTCGTGATTTCCCAGGTAAGTGGCGAATTCGGGCGAGTCGTCAAGACGCCATGTCCAGTAGCGATCGGACAGTTGCTCGACGCTGTACACTTGTTCTTCGTCTCCGCCGTCGGTGAGAAGCACGGCCAGAAGGACACCCGCGGCTATCACCACCATGACGACAAACACCAGTATTCCCACCACGCATGACTTCTTCATCGCGGCTAGCTGTGCTTGGTTCGCGGTGAACGTGTTTTTAAATTTCTCGATCGATTACTCACGAATGCGCCTTCGGCTTTTCGATGTCGCTTTCGAACTTATCCGTATGTTTAGTAAGCAACTGATCGTGCCCCAGCTATGGGCAGACGAGGGGGTGAATGAAGTGATGGTACGGTATTAATCACGCAGGAATGAGTCGTGACTCGTGTATACAACGACGTTCATTTGGGATTACGCATGATAATGATGATTTATGTATATGCGAAGTACACATGCGCGAGTATCATGCACCGCTTGCTAGCCTGCTCACATACGGCCGAGCAAAGTGTTATTTATTTAGTAGAAGCGCGGGCTAAGCTTATTGTTCCTCGGTGGTAAGAGTAGAGACGTATTCATGTGCTCGACAAAGAACACATGCATAGTTGGAATTAAATACATGGGAGTTTTGATTTAATTTGACCTCCTATGCAAATATTTGATCTATGCATGCCTATGCAGCGACAGGAAGATGGGGAAGGAAGACTAGTTCCGTATACGAATGCGATACGGATGTAAGCGCTGTACGCATGACGTGCAAACAACATTTCTTATCTAAACGGCAACTCTATATACTACTTTTATCATTCTACCCTGATACTGTCAAGGTTGCATCAAGGCTGTGCAGTGAAAGCGATACGTGTAAATTTACCTAGCAGGCCGAATGGAACCGGACATCGCATCTGTCATGTTTTTTCGCTAAGCTGGTCGCATTCATATGTTTTACTAATTAGCTCTCCAAGAATACAATATAGTCATACCCTGTCCATTGTTCGTAACGGCTAAATTCGACGGATCCCTATAAACTAGGCGATTCTATTGTAACGTTTTCCCCGCCGTGAGTTGTCGGATCATACCGTGATCATCGTCCCACTCGGGGCGACACGTCTTGACGGCCAGGAATGTTCCGTTATAACCAACTACGAGAGTCACATAACACAGCAACCCGCAAATTTGCAGCATCCGCCATTATAAACTGATGAATAAGTACATTACAGTAATTAAGTCAGGTGATTACAGGAGACAAGGCGATACAATAATGTATTCGCACTAATCGGCCAGCAGATGTCGCCACTAGATGCATATTCGTATCTAGCTATTAGCGCTATCACTTAATTGACTACAACTGACATCTCACGTCTGTAGCTCGATAGCTGACGACGCACGTCTGTAGTTGTAGCATGGCTTACTTTTAGCCTGCAAAGGTACCTGGCTGTAATGCTCAGAGCTATAATTAATATTCAAATAGTCTTTACAATATAAATTAATTGATAAAAGGACTATTAAAATCGACGCTGCATGCGCCTGTTCATGGGGGAGGGGCTCATATGATTGCATATTATACGTGTGTGCAAGTTTGTGTATGCGCGCGCGTGTGTGTATTAGTGTTGTCATGCGTGCATGTGTGCATGTGTGTTAGTGTGTGTGTGTGTGTGTGTGTGTGTGTGTGTGTGTGTGTGTGTGTTGTGTGTGTGTGTGTGTGTGTGTGTGTGTGTGTGTGTGTGTGTGT